GCTGCGCATGATAGCTTAGGGTCGGTTCGTACAGCTAGTTCCGCAGTGATGTGCCCAGTCGCTTCTGAGATGTCCTTGATATATGGCAGAGCAGGCTATGTCCGCGGTGGTCCTTCTGTTTGGGTCTCCTGGGGCCAAACGCGTAGGCAGCAGTTTATAAACCCCTTTGTATTTTCATTTCGCCTCGTGTACCTTTTCCTCCGGCCTACTGCAGTGAGTCCGAATCTGTGCGACGATCGTTTTTGCGCTTTGTTAGTAAGCATGCTTGCTAAGAAAACTTGGAAGTTGTGTTGTATTCGTTGCCCTCCTGCAAACCGTTCACCTAATTGCACCATTGGGCGTGCTTTTGATGAAAACATGAAATCGAGGCAGGCGCAGCTCTAACGCTTCTTTTCTTGCGAATTTTATCTCAGGAAAGATTTCATTGAGCAAGTTCGGAAGTTTTATAGCATGGTGTTCTTGATGCCACAAAACGCGTCTTCAAAGTTATGTCGCGAAAAAATAGGCTCACGCTGGGTAACGAAAATGCTCTCGAGCTCTTGTAGGAACAGTTCTGCCTCTTAATCGGAGATCGGGGAGCCCATCGGAGTTCATGTTATCTGTTCATAGGTTTCTCAGCCAACGATAAATTGAAGTTGTTCAAAATCCGAGTAAGCTCATGATGTGTTCAATTTTGAGTGGGCTTTGGGCCTAATCCTCTGCCTCTTCAAGCCTCGGGCGCCAGATTCGGTGGAATACTTGTAAATGCAAAAGTCGCATTGAAAGAGTCAATGAGTTCATCAGACAGAATCGTCCGACCCGGAAGGTCTTGGAGGAATTGAGACTCTGATTGAACTGAGGTATTCGAGTTGCCTTGGAGGAATTTCAGTTTTGTGTATATCCGCTTTGCCAAATTATATGTAGGGATGCCTTCAAGGGCGACTATTGCCCGTAGTGAGACATTCGATTTCTGCATGTTTGGAAGACCGTAGAAAAAAGCCGGGACGGTATCTGTTACTTTCATTTGGCGTGCCTAAGCTTCCATGATCCTATTTTTGCGCCGGTTTGATATCGCTTTGGTTTGAGAGTTAGTGCTGGTCTATTAAACCCTATATTGCCAAGAAGATTCTTAGCTTCTTCATAATATTCTTGTCGATTCTTCACGAGAATTGAACATCCCCCGTCAGCAAGACCGATATTAATACTGTCGTCTTTCCTCAGTTTTTTCATAGGTTTCAACTCGCTCTTCAAAGTGCATCGTGTAGGTTTGTGAGCCATCAGCACGGAGCTCACATTTTGTCGAACTGAGTGTTTTGTGTCGTCGGTCGTTTCACTTCTCACCAACATAACTTCCACTGTTGCAATGAAATCAACTAAGTCGTTATTGTTTTTCTATAAAGCAAAAATCAATATAAAAGACGTCTATTTAAGCTGTGCTACAAGGGTTAGCTTGCAGGAAGAAAGCTGTATTTGTGGTTGTACAGGTTTAACTATAGACATGATCAATAATCTTGAAATGTTGCAAGGTAAAATATTCGGCGTATTGGTACTGTAGACGACGTCGTATTATTCGTGATGTGTTCTTTAATGTGTCCTTAGTGCATATTCTGCGCGTATAAGACGGAAATTTATTTAGTCACTTTCGTATTTCCCCCAACACTCGTTCCTTAGAAAAGTTAGGTAAAAGTAATTACTAGAAAAAACAGCCACAGGTGGCAATGCGTCCTAGGAGGTAATTGCAACGACACAAATGCTATTTTTGTTTTTTATAGAAAAAAGATTACTTCGATGTTGGTTACACTTACGCTTGTATTTTAAATAGATTGGCTTCATATTGTGGGATTAGTAAAAAGCAGGCTAATGCCACCTAGAAATTTAGAAAAAAAAAACGCTGTCGAATGTACTCTTAAATTAGATTAACTAACGTAGGCAAGTCAGAAATTGAAAGCAATGCATTTTTAATCGCAAAAAAAGAAGCTGAATTTTTGACTATGCAGATTAAAAAGGGCCTTTTTCACACCTATAGAGTAGGCCAAGAGTTCCTAGGCAATATAATTTGCCGAAGTGCGAAAATTCCACTCAGCTTCAAAGGCATCTCTTTAGAACTCATACATTGACAGGAACATCCATAAATTACCTCGTCTTTTAGCACTTTACGGTTAGTTTCTGACGTCGGATCGCACGGAATGGAGACAAAACAGTAATAAACTAACGTTTGCACTTCTGATTGAACTTATACCAAATGCGATTTACACAGTGTTGTCCATCCGATCTGGTAGATTTCAGTTACTGGTTACTTTAGAGCGGACAAGGTGCTGAGATTTGCCCATTTTGTAAAAGTGTTGCCATATTTTAGTCATAAGTTTGACTGCTCAAAATTGCTAAGGCACTTTTTGATCCGTCCAGTATTCAGGAGATAAATAAAATAAGTCAAGCTTCCAAAACTTCATTCAAATGTCCTCGACCGTCCACTTATGCGCGTCCATGAAGCTTATGGTCCTTTTGGAACGGATATCTGTTCCCTCAAGGCAATTTCATTTAAATTATATTGCCCTCACCAAATTTGGTGTGCATTTTCTTCCTTTCTGTTTTTTTGACTTCACAGACGGGTACCGTCATTGTCTAATCATTTCAAAATCCTGCCAACCAGGAATACAAAAAATCCTCATTTAATTAATTGCCGTCCCTTAGGAATAATTGAAATATAAATTGAATCAGATGAAAAGAAGTCATGGTTTATAAGCGCCTGCTTGAAATTGATGGGCAGTATTTGACAAAGATATAATTCAAATAATGTAAACAAACGAGGAGCCCTATTCTTTTAACCAATTTTTTATACTTTTTCTAGGCAATTGTGAGCAGAACTATAATCCACACAGAAAGAACGATGTTTGTGATGCACTTATTCCCCTGCTGTACTACAGCCCAGGAGAACCTTTATTAGTCATTTAAATGCTATATTGCAATGCGGGTTTTCGGTGTTGTGTATTAGAACATTCAAAGATGGAACCAAAGCATTTGGATAAATCTTATATCTCTATGCTCTCCAAGTGCCAATCTCCAAGGCGTTAAAACATTTTGATTATTTTTAACATTAAAATATTTAATAGTGCACATCCTAATGCAGCTAAGGCAATCGCAAATTTGTATTTTAATTTCCTTATTCAATAACTGCATGTCGGAAATTAAATTCTCTAAAACACTTTGAGGATTTTGAACATACATCCTGGTAATTTTCAACTATTCGTAGACGTTAAACACTTTATTGGCAACATGAGTTATTTAAACATGTGGACCTGGTCGTGTTATTAATTTATACTCAGCGAATTCTGGTAGAAAGTATTCACACGGTACCTGATTTAGCAACGCATGAGAGTCTAAAATACGCAAATAGTTTTACTATCAACGGTGCCGGCATGTATATCTAATGCTTTTTCCATAAATCTCGTAATATGTGATTTGTACTTGTTCACCCTGCAATTGTTCTCGCCGTACAAAAACAATTGAACATGGGCTGGCCGGAGGGTGTTTGCAAACCATTTATAGCAGTCAACTGCTTATTTCTTTAAAAAAGAAGCAAAATTTACAACAAAGCGGCTAATTTCCAATACAGGAGAATATCCGAGTTCCAGGAAGCAGTTCGGAAGA